GGGGGCGGCGCCCCAGCCCCCCCCGGGTCTGCCGCCTCTGTGGTGGGGCAGAGATGTGGGTGAAGGGTGCCAGTTGCTCACCTGAGGTCAGGAAGTAGAGCTGTGAGTCCCCATGGATGCCCACGGTGCCAGGCCCTAATGCATCTGCCAGAAGATTGATCATGGAGAAGGCGCCACTCATGAGCCCGAAGCCCATACCAGCCACTGCCAGGACAGGGATGCCATCAAGCCCTGAGCCACACAGGGCAACCCCAGGCACCTCCCAGCCCCTCAGGGGACTCAGCCAGCTTCAAGATGAGAAACCTCCCTTTCCCCCCAGTGCCATGCCCAGCCCTGCCTGGCTGCTCTGTGCAGCACTCACCATACGCCATTTGCTGGATGGAAATGGGGGAGCAGCCGTCCTCACTGAGGGCCACCAGCCCCTCGATGGCCTTCCTGCAGAGGGGAGAGCATGCTGGAGGCTGGCACAGTCTGGCTGCCTCCCAGGGCATGGTGCAGCACCAGGACAGAGTAGGTGGTCTCACTCTGCACCATCCTGGTAACCTCCTCATCACTGAACCACAACACCTGCCGTGGAGAGCATCCGTGGGACCACCCTGAACTGCCAGACAAACCACACATGTGAAAACCACATGAAGCCACATAAAAAGATTTCCACAGAGGGATGCAAGTGCAAGCCAGCCCCACAGAGCAGGGGTGGGGTGAGTGGGACTCCAGGTGCAAAGCAAGCAGCACCCCCACACAGAAAACAGCCCCAGCATGGGAAGCGCATGCCAGGAGGGTGTACCTGATCTTGGCAGCTATACCCTTGAAGATGTTGGGAAAAAAACAGAAAGGGTGCAGGGAAGAGCTCAAATAGCTAGAAAAATTCTTGGGGGGGAGAAACTGAGAGAGCTGGGCTTCATAAGTTTTATCGGCTAGAGGTGTGGCAGGTGAGGAGGACGCCAGATGGCTCCGCAGCCCCAGAAGGACAGCAGCATTTGCAGCCAGAGATCCGCAGGGCAATGAAACACAGTGGTTTGTGTCAGAGGCCACTCTGTGGAACTCT